TCACGACGTTTCGGAGGCAACACAAGTCTCCGTCATCAGGTGGGACCGTCACAGCCAGATTTGCTGCATCAAGTGAGGCAAGGATTCAAGATGTAATCCCTTAAATGCAAGTTGAGGGGGGGAGGAGAGGGGGGGGGGGAGCTCATCAGAATGTGGTAGCCAATGAATGGAACGTATCGGGAGGGACGGGGATGGGGCTAAAAGAAGGCACGAAGTGCTACGTAGAACGTATCGGGAGGGGGAGGGGGGCGGGGCCAAAATAATGCACGAAGTGATACACGAAAGTCGGTGACGTGGACGTGGTTGTGCGCAAGCAACTATTGTTGCACACGCCAACGTATTGGACGAAGTTACCTACGTGACTTTACCGAAAGAACTAAGAGTATGAATCCTTGCATTCACGAAGGCTTCAAATCTAGAACCAACCCTTAAACCTCAACCCTTAAAAACCAACCCTTGAACGCCAAACGTTTAACGCCAACCCTGAAACACCAACCCTTAAACACCAACCCTCAAACGCCAAACCTCTAACGCCAACCCTTAAACACCAACCTTGTAGACGAACCCTGAAACGCCAAACCTTAAACACCAACCCTTAAATGCCAACCCTTGAACGCCACCCCCTTAAAACCAACCATTTAAAAGCCAATCCTTAAACGGAAAGCCCAAAAATGCAACCCTTAAATAACACCCCTTAAACACCAGCAATTAAACGCCAACCCTTAAGCGCCAACCCTTAAACTCTATCTCTTAAACACCAACCCTTAAACGCCCAACCTTTAACGCCAAACCCTTACACACCAACCCTTGAACGCCACCCCTTAAACGCAAAACCTTGTGTTTTAGGGTTTCCGTTTAAGGGTTGGCCCTTAAACGCAAACCCTTAAATGCAATCCTTAAGCACCAACACCAACCATTAAACGCCGACCCTTAAACGCCAACCCTTAAATGCCAACGCTTAAACACCAACCATCTAAACGCCAAACCCTTAAACGCCAACTCAAACAAAACCATTAAGAGCAAACCCTTAAACACAACCCTTTAAACGCCAACTCTTAAACGCCAACCCTTAAACGCCAACCCTTTAATGCCAACCCTTAAACACCAACCGTGAAACGCCAACATTTAAACACCAACTCTTAAACACCAACCCTTAAACACCAACCCTGAAACATAAAACCCTTGAACGCCAACCCTTAAACACCAACCCTCAAACACCAACCCTAAAACGGCTACCCTTAACCTCCAGCAGTGCATACCGATTGTCGTGGTTCCTGTAATCACTACAGCAGTGCATAACGACTGTGGTGGTACCTGGTATGACTACAGTAGTGAATACCGATTGTCGTGGTAGCTGCTTTATCTACAGCAGTGCAGACTCACTGTGGTGGTACCTGCTTCCACTACAACAGTGTATACTGAGTGTGGTGGTTCCTGCTATGATTACAGCAGTGCATACCAACTGCGATAGTTCCTGCAATCACTGCAGCAGTGTATAACGACTGTGGCGGTACCTCCGTTAACTACAGCTGTGCATATCGACTGTGGTGGCACCTGCTATGACTGCAGCAGTGCATACCGACTGTGGTGTAACCTGCTTTAACTACAGTAGTGCATACCGAATCAGGTGGTACCTGCTATCACTACAGGAGTGCATACCAACTGTGGTGGTAACTGTTATCACTGCATCAGTGCATATCGACTTTGGTGGTACTTGCTATCAATACAGCAGTGCATACTGACTGTGGTGATTCCTGCTATCACTAAAGCAGTGCATACTGACTGTGGTGGTAACTGCTTTAACTACAGCAATGCATACCAACTGTGGTGGTACCTGCTTTCACTACAGCAGTGCATACTGACTGTGGTGGTGCCTGCTATGACTACAGCAGTGCATACCGACTGTGGTGGTTCCTGTTATCACTTCAGCAGTGCATACCGACTGTGGTGGTGCCTGCTATGACTACAGCAGTGCATACTGACTGTGGTGGTAACTGCTTTCACTACAGCAGTGCATACCGACTGTGGTGGTTTCTGTTATCACTACAGCAGTGCATACTGAATGTGGTGGTATCTGCTATCACTAGAGCAGTGCATACTGACTGTGGTTGTACCTGCTATGACTACAGCAGTTCATACCGTCTGTGGTGGTACCTGCTATGATGACAGCAGTGCGTACTGACTGTGGTGGTCCTGCTTTCACTCCAGCAGTGCATACCGACTGTAGTGGTACCTGCTTTCACTACAGCAGTGCATACTGATTGTGGTTGTACCTGCTATGACTACAGCAGTTCATACCGTCTGTGGTGGTACCTGCTATGACTACAGCAGTGCATACCGAATGTGTTGGTACTTGCTATGATGACAGCAGTGCGTACTGACTGTTGTGGTCCTGCTTTCACTCCAGCAGTGCATACCGACTGTAGTGGTACCTGCTTTCACTACAGCAGTGCATACTGACTGTGGTGGTACCTACTATGACTACAGCAGTGCATACCGACTGTGGTGGTACCTGCTTTCACTACAGCAGTTCATACCGTCTGTGGTGGTACCTGCTATGATGACAGCAGTGCGTACTGACTGTTGTGGTCCTGCTTTCACTCCAGCAGTGCATACCGACTGTAGTGGTACCTGCTTTCACTACAGCAGTGCATACTGACTGTGGTGGTACCTACTATGACTACAGCAGTGCATACCGACTGTGGTGGTACCTGCTTTCACTACAGCAGTGCATACTAAATGTGGTGGTACCTGCTATGATTACAACAGTGCATACTGTAGTGGTACCTGCTATCACTACAGTAGTATATGGTGACTCTATAGCAGTATTTATCGACTCTATAGCACATACTACTAATCTGACAGAGTGCCGTCGTGAGGCCTAGTCCCGTGCAGAGCCCCCGTTCTTGCCTAGATTTCCCAGCCGGCCGAGGTGGTACCTTGGCAGGCTGTGGGCTGGGCCGCTACCCTTGCCCTCCCCTACCATCCCTCTGGCCGCTCTACAATGATTTATCTAAGTGCTATAATATTAGTATCTACCGACCCTATACGTAGTAAGTGCACACATTGGGGTGGGGGGGGGAGAGAAGAGGACATGACACTTTGCAGAATTTACCTCAGGGTTGTGTCTTATTTTTGTGCATTTTTAACGCGAAAGATAAAATTTCACCCCCTCCCAACGAAGGCATGTGCGTTGCTAGGGGGCAACCCCTGTCAGCTAAATTGTTAATTTAACTACTTTCAAGTTGACGGATGGTAAAAAGGAATAGCGCTGGCTCACCACGGGGCTTATGGCATGGTACCTGGCTACTTTTTTTAAACGTCAACCCCGCGGTTCGCGAGCCAAATCCTTCGCAAGTTTCATCCACAGACAGACAAATAATGCCTTTTTTAGGTCAGATATGTATGTGTGTTAGGGCAGTGGTGAGTGTATGTGTGTGTTACAGCAGTGGTGATTGTAGTACAGCAGTGGTGAGTGTGTATTAGGGCAGTGCGGTAATACTAATCACACATTTACCCTCACCATACAGTCGTTAATGAAGTAGTTTTTTAACAGTGCGTTGTCTATGTACGCTGTGAAGGTTTCAATGCAAAGCCCAGAGGCACAGTCCATCACCACGGGACCCGCATTCCGCCCGCATCGCATAACGGCCAGAGCCGCATTCCCACTGTACCGGTTGAGCGAAAATGTCCTCCGGTCACGCACATGGCTACGGGCGAGCTGTGTGTGTGTGTTAGTGAGTGGGGAGCGGTGGTGTAGCGGTTAACGCGCTGCGCTATGAACCCGGCGACCCGGGTTCGATAGTGTAGCGGTTAACGCGCTGCACTATGAACCCTGCGACCCGGGTTCGATAGTGAAGCGGTTAGCGCGCTGCACTATGAACCGTGCGACCCGGGTTCGATTCCTGCTCACGGAGGAACACCAGTGACGATTATCTGAACCGGTCCTGGGCCTCCCCTAGGTCGACTCAGCCTAAAATGAGTACATGGTGCAGTGTGTAAACATCATCACTGGGGAGACAAAGGCGGTTGGGCGTGGTGCTGGCCACCCACCCTCTCGTTTATCTTCCGGCCTTCATAGGTGCTCGCTAACAGCACTTGCCCCTACAGTCTGTTAAGGCTATATGGGGGATCTTTGTACTTTTAGCTTTTTTCTGTAAAAAGAAAAGGAATTAAAACGAAAACTGAATAAAATGAGTAAAATTTTTTTTTATAAAAACAACTAAAATAAATAATTTAAATATTGTTTTCATTTTATTAAATGAATACATATTTTAATTTTAATTTATTTTATTTTTTACCTACGTGACTGACTTTACCGAAAAAACTAGAAAGTATGGATCCTTGCAGTCACGGTAAACTTCAAATCTGAAGGGGGATCTTTGCCTTTGTGTTTCAGTGGGGAGCGGTAGTGTAGCGATGAGCGCACTACACTACGAACCCGGCCACCCGAGTTCGATTCCTGCTCGTGACCAACACCTGTGACGATTATTTTAATGGTCCCGGGCGTCCCCGAGGTCGTCGACTCAACCTCAAATGAGTACTTGGTGCGATGTGCTTACAGTGTCACTGGGGGGAACAGGTGACCGGGTGTGGTGCTGGCCACCCACTCCCTCTTGTGCCATTCCGGCCTTCATAGGTCCTACTCGCTAACAGCACTTGCCTCAATAGTCTTTGAAGGCAAAATGTTGATCTTTTTATTTATGTGTGTGTCGGTGAGCGTGTGTGTCAGTATGTGGTACAGCGGAAGTGTAGCGACAATGAATGTGAGGCATAGCCCAGACGAAAAACACATCTGGGCCACCCATTCCCCCGCCCATGGCGTGGATGGGTGGAGGGCCAGATCGGACCTCGCACCTGGCCGAGGGCGTAATTGCTCAGTCACGCGACACCTCCTATTCTGTCTCTTCCTTCTCCCCGCCTCTTCTATCTCCCCCATCTCTTCCTCGAGTCTCTCTGTCGGCCCTGGCTGTTGCCCCCACGTGCTTCGCGCTCCACAGCAATGGCTTCAGACTTCTCCTGCTCCATTTGCCTGGAGTTGTTCAAGGTCCCCGTGAGTTTGAGCTGTGGCCACAGCTTCTGCAAGTCGTGCATAGAGAGCCACTGGGCAGTGCAGTCAGCGAAGGCCAGGTTCACCTGCCCCGAGTGTCGTGAGATGTATTACCAAAAACCAAAGCTGAGCAAGAATATCCTTCTTGCCAACATCGTCGCAGATTTAAATCAAATTAACATCGTCCCACGCCCAGGGAGGAGATGCAAGCGGCACGGGCAGGGCCTGGGCCTCTACTGCAAGACGGACACACAGCTGATCTGCATGGGCTGCATGGGCGACCACAGGAGGCACGACATTGTCCCAGTGCAGGCGCAGCGAGGGGAGAAGGCGGTGAGCAGAGCCTCTGATCCACGTCGCACGTGCACCCCAAGTCGCATAATCGGCCTACTGCATTACAGTGCCCTGCTGTATTATAGTGCCCTGCTGTGACTAGTCATTGTTTGATAGATGTGTGTGTGTGTATTTGTCTATGTTTGGCGTGGTGCCGGCCGTCCACCGTCTCGTGTGCTGTGCCGACCTTCATATGTACTCTCTTACAGTACTTGCCTCAAAAGTATGTTAAGGCTATACGGGCGATCTTTGTATGTGCCTGTATGTGACGTCCACTGCCACATTCCCACAGAACCGGTTCAACGAACATTCCATACAGTCACGCACCCGGATATAGGGGCGAGGTGTGTGTGTGTCAGTGAGTCCGCCATTGTGTGTATGTATGTATGTTGAATTTATTGACACCATAGGTCGCCAACCGTGCTAAACTAAATGCAAACAGCAGTTTTAAAGAAATGTGATTTTAATCTAGATTTAAAATTGCATAGCTCCAGTGACTTCCTAAATTGGAACGAAGAGCATTACAAACGACCACAGATGTGAATAAAAAACGCGGGATGCTGTGACCGTCTTAATTTGATGGCTAGCCAAATGCCTCTGCGAAAATGACTGGAGTTTGCGTGATGGTTTATGTTTCTTGACGAGATCAGCAAGGGCCAGGTGCGGTAGGAGACTGCCAAACCACAGGGAGTGGATCTTATTTTGGACAAAAAACGATGGTAGCATGGTGGTGAGATGTCGGAAGCTGTAATAATAAGAATGCATTTTATTTATCTTGCGCGTTTCCCATGCTCAAAGCACTGCTGCTCATCCCTTCCTACTGGATCCCCTTACCCCTATCTGATGCGCTCCACATTTTTTCCTCTTTAAAATACAATTTTTACTTTCTCTTTACCGCACTCAATTTCCTTCCCCATGATTTACTGTCCCTCAGCTTCCTGCTCTTTTTTCTTCAATGATCTTGACTGTATCCTATCTACTCTTTCCAATTGCTTCTCCATTAATTCTACTGGGTGACTTTAACCTAAATATTACATCACCATCCACCTCTGCTTCTCTACTTATTGGCTCTTTCCACCTCCATCTCATCCCCTGTCCCCCAACTCATTCCTCTGGTGGAACACTCGATCTCATCTTCATTTCCAGTTGCTCAGACTCTAGTCCCCTCGCCCTCCATCCGATCACTTACTAATGACTGTGACACTTCTAGTCTCCCCCCCGCCACCTTCCTCGCCTTCCCATGCAGCTCCTCGCCTCCACCACAACCTACACTCCCTTAGCAACTGCACACTTATTCCATTGGTATCCTCATCTCTTCCCTCAATCCCTGATTTCTCTTCCCTGCTTGTCCTAAATTCAGCACTTTCTTCCTCGTTGAACTCGCTTGCACCTCTACTCCCTTTTTACGCTCAAGCCTCAGCACTGGCTCATGAGCAGGGCACATCTGGAAGACCTCACCAACTAATGATTGCCATTCCTCATACTTCCCTACTTTCAAATTACACTTCTGCTCTGGATGCTGTTCACCAACCGTACTTTATTTCCATAATTTCTTCCCTATCTTCGCACCCTGCTCTGCTTTTCAATACCCATAATTCTCTGGTCCACCCATGCTCTACCGCACCTGTCACTTCCTCTTCTTCCCCCTCTCCTGTGGTCTTTTCCAACTACTTCACGACCAAGATCGACCACATTCGCTCCTTGCTCACTGCGCAACCCCCTGATATCCCTGCACCTAGTGACTCCTCCCTGCCCTACCCTACTACTACCTTTTCCTTAAATGCTTTCTCCCATCTTCTTGTTTCTTTCGGTAAAGTCACGTAGAAGGGAAGTAATAAAATAATAAAAATAAAACATAATAAAACAATTCTCACGACGTTTCGGCTACAACGCAAGCAGCCGTCTTCAGGTGAAGAATGAGACACTACCAAACTAGGAGCTTATATATAAGCTGCATTGGGGGTTGAAGAGCGCCTTAACAAAAAGAATGTGCATGTGAAGAGGAATTTAGCATATTCCTTCTGGAGCTGTCTACCATAATCTCAAAAAACTGCCCACATTTTCCTCCCTCGATCCCATTCCACCTTCTCTTCTTCCATCCATTCTCCAATCCATTCTCCCAATTGTTCTTCAAATTTCCTTGGCTCATTTTAACTCTTCCCTCTCGTCCAGCAAATTCCCCAACCCTTCCAAAACCACCATCATCCAACCGCTTCTCAAAACACCATCTCTAAATCCTTCTGTCCCCGCACACTATCACCCTATATCCTTGCTTCCTTATTTCTCCAAACTTCTAGAACACTTAGTGTACTCCCGTCTTTCATCCTACATCTCTTTCCAATTGCTGTATCCCCTCGACCAGTCTGGTTTCTGCCCTCTCCACTCCACTGAAACTGCCCTCCTTCACACCCACAATCACCTTGGTACTTGGTCCCCTTCTGTTCTCCATATACACAACTTTCCTAGAGTCTATTATTTCTTCCTTTGATATTTCTTATCACCTCTTTGCTGATGACACTCAAATTTCCTTATTTTCCAATTCATTCACCCCCAACTTTCTCTCTGCATCGCATCCTGTCTGACAAGCCTGGATGACCCAAAACTTCCTTTCCCTAAATCCTTCCAAAACCTAGGTGCTTTTCTTTCCATCCTCCTGCTCATCCCCTCCTGCACCATCCCCCCCCACCCACTCAAATTCTTCCACCCTCATTCTCGGTGTTCCCTTTCATTACACTCTTTCCTTCACTTCCCATACTGCCAATACCACTCGCACATGCCATTACCATCTGACAATCAGAAATATCTGCACCCTCATCACTCCCACCGCTGCCAAACTCCTCATGCACTCCCTTGTCTTCGCTCGTCTTGATTACTGCAACTCACTCCTCGTTGGTTTCCCTGCTTATGCCTTTATCCCTCTCCAACACATCCAAAACGCAGCGACACACGCTGTACTCAACCTTCCCTACATGTCTCACTGCTCCCCTCTCCTTCAACAATTTCACTGGCTTCCTGTTTATCGCCGCTGTATTTTTGAATTCCTCACCCTAGTATTACAAGCTTTGCATGGTCTTGCCCCCCCACCTCTCCTCTCTCATTTATTTATACGTCCCTTTACACCCCTCCGATCTGAATCTTCCCTTCTTCTCTCTCTCCCTCCACCTCCTTGCGCCCAATCTCGATTTAGTGCTTTCTCTCTTCTTGCCCTGTTACACTGGGACAAACTCCCTCTCCACATTAGACTTTCCCCCTCACTTTCCTGCTTTCGCTCTGCCCTTAGGTCCTTCCTCTTTTCTATTGCTTTTTCTCTTCCACTGCCTCTAACCCACTCACAGTCCCCCCGTCCTCTTCCTCTGACGTCTCTAGTTCCTGACCCAGCTCTGACGTCTCGCTTTCTCCATGTGCACCTAACCACGTCTCTCTCTTAGCCCTCCACCGTGCTCCTCAATCGCCCAAAATATCCAGCCACCAGAACCTCTGCCGCTACCACCCTTCACCTACCCTCATTCATGCCCAGCAATAGCACCTATCTATCCCATCACTTCACACATATTTCCTCATACCCCGCTGCCTCTCATTCATGTTGCACCCATATGTCACCCTTATTCACCATCACTTTATTCCCCTACCCATGCAACATCAGCTCCTTACCCATGTCTCTCCATCCATTCCATTACCTTCCTCACGAACAGCCATTCCACCCCATCTGTTCCTCCCTTTTAGCTCTTTTGTGTACCGCCGTCAGTTTGCATTGTAAAGCGCTCTAAAAAGGGCGCTATATAGTTTAAATAGAATAGAAGTAAGCAGAGGTGAGGAATGGTGATGGTTGCTTATGCTTCCACCAAAGATGAACATCAGTGGAGGGATGCAGGAAAAGCCATTGTGTCAGATGCCTTCTATGACCTCATATCACAGGTGCTAAAGTAGCCCTTCGGGATGGAGTCATCCTGTTAGGTGACTTTAATGTCCGAGTGGGTCATGACACTGGCACCTGGGCTGGAGTGGTTTGAAGCAAGGCTGTAGCCATGGAGTCAACATTGGGGGGGACCAAATCTTCCAGGGGGTCTGGGGGTCCCTCCCCAGAAAAAAAAATCTTAATTTGAAAACAAAATTTCTGCCATTTACTGCCTAAAATATTAAAAAATTCACTAACACATAGGATGGATTTTTTTACAATAATGTCTAATAGTGTATTGTATTACATTGCTGTTTTTTTCTTTATTACCTTTTCTTGTTTCATTGTATGTAATGACAGGGATTAGGGATTAATAAATTACAACCATAACCACAATAATATAAACAGAAATCTATTTTATAGTAATATATGCACCTCCTGCTTCTCCACCCGTTCATTCATCCGATCGAACTTTTCATTGAAGGAGAATAGGATGCAAGTATTTTCTCCCAATTTAGAGTGAAGTTCTTGGATGAGCTGAAGGACGTCCCTATCCGTTTCCTCAGGGCTTGGTGTGTACGGAGAGCCTTCTTCCCCAGTACTTGCTCCGCCATTAGGCTCGAGGGGGAGCGAGGAGACTCAGGCTGCTGCCACGGCAATTACCGTGTTGGGCCTGCTCTGGGACGTCAGGGGCACCAGTGGAGGAGATAGGGAGGAGGAGACACCAAATAACTGCAGTTCGGGAGGCGAGGGGGAAGTCAGGGTATAATAATAAAACGTGGCGCTGCAATACAGGCCCAAGCCTACCCTGTTTCCTGCTCCTGCTGCTCCTTTAATAGTCTATGATGTTTAACGGGTAAAGGGAGGGTTACATTTTCGGAGAAAACAATCTCATGAGAGCCCACCGAGTTGTAGCAATGATCGGCAACGGCGGATAACTCAATTTTGCCGTGTTTCAAATCTGACTTGTGCTCGCGGACACGATCAGAGAATGACGTTTCGTTTCCCCAATGTAACAGTTACCAACTAAGGTGCTCTGCAAGCCTTCTGGCTACCATCAATAGTTTGTACACGAAGCCTTTCAGATATACAAACACAGACATAA